GGAAAGAAGGTAAAGGCATTTTACCTTATTCTCTAAACCACTGGTCAAAAAAGACAAAGCCAATTGGACAAATAACTTTGTCCAAAGGAAACACTCAGAGAATTAAGAAAGCTGGCAATGCTCCATGAAATAATGGAATCGAGATTAGAATTAAAGGTTCCCCCAAAGTGGTTTATTCCTACATTAAGAACCAAACCTCTTCTGTGCCCTAATGGGATACAACAACACCACCATCATCAACAACAACAACTGGATGAGCAATAGTCAAATGCGATCAGCATACAAACAGAGGTGAGTGACCCTTGGAACTCTTCCTCTGAATGCTATACTTTATCTTAAGCAAGCACAGCTTCTTGAAAATCTGCCTTTCCATGTTCTATGCAAACAGTCCGGTGGTCAGAAACTGCACCTGAAAACAGGAAGCAGCACACAACAATTCTCTCCCCCTGCAAAGAATGCTGTCAATGAAAGGTTGGTTTACAATAATAGAACCATAGAATTACAGAGTTGGAAGATACCCCAAAGGCCATCCAGTCCTGCCCCTGCCATGCAGCAAAACAGAATCAAAGCACCATTGGCAGATGGACATCCAACCTCTGCTTAAAAACCTCCCAAGAAGTAGACTTCACCAGGATTCGAAGCAACATATTCCACTATCAAACTGCTCTAATTTTCAGGAAGTTCTTCCTAGTGTGTAGGCCACATCTCTTATCCTGCAGTTTGAATCCATTACTTCATGTCTGGATTCAAACAAGTTTCCCCGCTTCTTAACAAGACATCATTTCAAATATTCAAACATGACTATCATGTCCTGTCGCAACTTTCTCTTCTCCAAGCTAAACAGATCCAGCTTCCTACATGGGGCTTCCCTTCCAGACCTGTAACCATTTTGATCACGCCTCTCTAGACACATTCGAGTTTGTCAATATTTTTCTTGAATTGTTGTGCCCAGGAGTGGACACAGGATTCCAGGTGAGGACTGATCAAAGCAGTCAAAGAGCGATACGATTATTTCCCTTGGTCTAAACACTATACTTCTATTGATGCAGCATAGAATGGCATTGGCTTATTTAAGTTACCCCATGAGAAGCCCCCGGTGGTGCAATGGGTTAAACTTTTATCCCGGCAGGACTGCTGATCAAAAGGTCAGCATTTCAAATCTGGGGAGTGGAGTGAGCTTCCATCTGTCAGCTCCAGCTTCTCATGCAAGGACATGAGAGAAGCCTCCCACAGGATGGTAAAACATCTGGGCATCCCCTGAGCAACATCCTTGCAGATGGCCAATTCTCTCACACCAGAAGCAATTTGCAGTTTCTCAAGTTGCTCCTGACATGGAAAAAAATAATTGTCGCATCACACTGTTAACTCATGCTGAGTTTGGGGTCTACTAAGACTCTTAGATCCCTTTCATGTGCAATGTCACTTATACCGTTATATTGTTATGCTGAGAGCCAGCATGGTTTGAGCAATGGACTATGGCTCTGGAGATCAGGGTTTGGGTCACAGCTTGGACATGGAAACCTACTGGGTGACCTTATGTAAGTCAGTCTCAGAAAATGGGAATGACAAGCCTCCTTGCAAAACATCTTGCAGAGAAAACCCCATAACAGGTTCCACCATAAGTCAGAAATGACTTGAAGGCATGCAAGAACAACACTTATGCACCATCCTTTCGTCATCTTCCAAAGAAACTAATGTGGTCTCTGACTATATTTCTATCCTCACAACAACCATGTGAGGATGGTGACAGGCCTAATGTCTCAATTGCCAAACTGAGCATTTGAACCAGGCCTTCCTAACTTTTAGTTCACCTACCTATCCACTGTGGGGCCACCATGGTGCAGCAGATTACACTGCTAAGCTGCAGAACTTGCTGACCAGAAGATTGGCAGTTCCAATCCACAGGACAGGGTGAGCTCCCATTTTTAGCCCCAGCTTCTGCCAACCTAGCTGTTTGAAAACATGCAAATGTGAGTAGATCAATATGTACAGCTTCGGTAGGAAGGTAACAGCACTCCATGCAGTTATGCCAGTCACATGATGTAGGAGGTGCCTATGGACAACAATGCCATCTCTTCAACTTTGAAATGGAAATGAGCACCACCACCCAGAGTCGGACTCAATTAGACTTAATGTCAAGGGGGAACCTTTACCTTTTCTATCTCTCCACTAACAGCTGTTTCAGCTTGTTCTCTCGTACTGGTAAGAGAGTGGTGGGGACCAAACCCAGAAGACCATGTCACCCAAAGAAGGGGGGGCAACCAGGGAGGCAGTTCCGGCATACCTCTTTCTTTGCCCTGCTTCTCTGTCAAGGTTGCTGATCCCACAGGACCATTTGTCATCTCTTTTCTAAAAAGTTTATACTGCAAGTCGCTTCTGGTGTGAGAGAATTTGACGTCTGCAAGGATGTTGCCAGGGGATGCACGGATGTTTTACTACCCTTGTGGGAGGCTTCTCTCACGTCCCCGCATGGGGAGCTGGAGCTGATAGACGGGAGCTCATCCCATCTCGTGGATTCGAACCACCCACCTTCAGGTATTCAGGTCAGCAGTTCAGCTGGCACAAAGATTTAACCCACTGTGTCACCGCAACTAAACTCTTGCTGTTTTTTAAAATCTATAGCCTGAGGGAACTGCTTCGGTTTGTGTAACAGGACCAATTCTGTACACAGAAAGTCACCTGGATGGAGTAAGAAAACTTTTCCTCTTCACACATCCATTCTTCAAGGAGTTAGTTGCATCTAAAAGAGGGTAAAAAGAAGCACTCCTCCCTGAGATTTCCCTTCATTCCCCAAATGTCTAGCATTGCAAAAATTGAGAAATTCAGCTGAGCCTTTGCAAATACTGTTCAGGCACTTAAAGAAAGGGGACAGGCAAAAACATACAAAGAATACAAACAATGTCTGCATGGAGTTAGGATTCGTTTTAAACTTTTTTTTCTTGTTTTGATAACACTATGTAACAAAATTTGGGGGAAAAATTCTGTTCCTGGTTTGAAAGTGTTACTCTGGTTTAATTGTGTGGTACTTACCCTGAAAGCAATTGTGATACTCCAGAAACTTTGTTTTTGTGGCTGCTACAAATTATGTTGAATTGGTTGAGATTTGATGAGATCTTCATTGAAAAACTATAGCAAAATGTGCTGCGGGATGTCTCACAAAAACAAAGTTTGTGCAGTTTAATAAGGTTTTCCCATGTTTTTCTGAAAGAACCAATTAGGAAATGACATTGATAACCCAGGAACCAAAATCGTGTTACATAGTATGATTGTTTTCATAACTATAACATTGAATTCTATTTTAATATTTATCTGTCATAGGTTTTTTAAGGAGCCCCCGGTGGCGCAGCAGGTTAAACTGCTGAGCTGCTGAACTTGCTGACCGAAAGGTCTGCAGTCTGAAACTGGAGAGCAGGGTGAGCTCCCGCTGTTAGCCCCAGCACCTGCCAACCTAGCAGTTCGAAAACATGCAAGTGTGAGATCAGTAGGGACCACTTCTGTGTGAAGGTAACAGTGCTCCATGCAGTTCATGCCGGCCACATGACCTTGGAGGTGTCTACGAACAACGCTGGCTCTTTGGCTTAGAAATGGAGATGAGCACCACCCCCAGAGTCAGACATAACTAGACTGAATGCCAAAGGGAAACCTTTACCTTTACTTAAGATTTTCAATTGTATAGGTTATAAGGCATGAATTGTATTGGGTCCCAGTCCTGGAAGAAGAGCAGGGCAAAAATAAATACAACTAAAAATGAATGAATTAAAGGTGAACGCTTTTCTATTTCTTACTCCACTCATTTAAAGGATAAAGGGAAATTTCCTTGGGGGACAAAATACTTATGGGGCAGGAAGCATCCATAATATTTCCTCCACACATTAGCAATAGCTAAACCCTGTGAGGTGGGGAATATGAGATTCCCTGGACCCAGTCCTCACCCAGAAGGAGAGCCCAAGTCTGCAAGGAAGTTAGAATCATAGCATCATAGAGTTGGATGAGACCTCATGGGCCATCCAGTCCAACCCCTGCCAAGAAGCAGGAAAATTGCATTCAAAGCACCCCCAACAGATGGCCATCCAGGCTCTGTTTCAAAGCCTCCAAAGAAGGAGCCTCCACACTTCAGGGCAGAGAGTTCCACTGCTGAACAGCTCTCACAGTGAGGAAGTTCTTCCTAATGTTCAGATGGAATCTCCTTTCTTGTAGTTTGAAGCCATAGTCCCATATCCTAGTCTCCAAGGCAGCAGAAAACAAGCTTGCTCTCTCCTCCCTATGACTTCCTCTCATATATTTATACATGGCTATCATGTCTCCTCTCTGCCTTCTCTTCTGCAGGCTAAACATGCCCAGCTCTTTAAGCCACTCCTCATAGGGCTTGTTCTCCAGACGCTTGATTATTTTAGCTGCCCTTCTAAATGATCAATGGTCTGGAGAAAGAGGTGGCAGCTGAATCTTCCCTGACTTTTAGTGGACAAGACACTGCTTTAACTGTGCTATAGAATCCTGTGCGTTGTAGTTTCACAAGGTCTTTAGCCATCTCTGCCAAAGAGTGCTGGTGCCCCACCAAACTACAAACCTCAGGACTCTATAATATTGAGCCATAGCAGTTCAAGGTGGGATCAAACTGCATTAATGCGACAGTGGAGATGCAGAGCCTTCCAGGATGGACCCAGAAAGCCTGAAAGGAGGCCTCGAGCAACCCTTTTTGCCCTGCAGGAGAGATCCTGCGGCTCTGCTCCACACTCTCCACTCTCAATGCCAAGGCTTCCAAGATACAGAATTCTGGGAGTTCTAGTTCGGTGAGGCACCGGCTCTCTTTAGCAGAGAAGGCGAAAGACCTTGGTAAAGCCACAAGAAGAGGCTACAGAATGGTAGCTCCACTGTCAAGGCTCAATGCTGTGGGACTCTTCTTGCCTCCTACTTGCATGGCATTGCGCCCTGGCAGTTGCCGGGGTGGCAAGTCCACCTGCCTCGCTTCCTTCCTGGAGTCCTTCTCCCCGACGACTCACCAAGGCAGCCGGGCTCTCTCTCAGTCGCCTCCTGGCCACATGCCTCCTTCCCTCCGAGCTGGGGCTCCGCTCCTGCCGCCGGGCAAGCAAAGCGTGGGCGTGGGCCGCCTCTCGAAGCTCCTCGGGGAGGGAGAAGGGAGGGAGGGAGGAGGGAGGCAGAGGCGGGCGGAGACCCTGAAGGACCCGGGCGCCCTCCTTCGGCCAGGCGCTCTTCGGCCCGGACTGAGCTTCGCCCGCCCCAGCGCCAGGTTTTAAAGCCGCCCGGACGTTTCCTCTCCGGCAAAGCGCTCCTCCTCCTCCTCCTCCTCCTCCTCCTCCTCCCCTGTCTCCCGAAAGGGAACCCACAACTCAGCCCAAGTCAAAGGCAGCAAACACACAGCACCCAGCCGGATTGTCTCCTTCAGAGGAATTGCCAGTTCAAAGACGGTTTGAACAGAAATGTATTCTGACTGCCAAGGGAAGGAAAACGGAGAAGGGGCTCAGACTGCTCCTCTTCCTCCTCTTTCTGTCCCTTTTCCTCTTCCTTCTTCTCTTCCTCCACCTCCTCCTCTTCCCCTCTTCTTTCCCTCTTCTTTTTCTCCTCTTCTCCTCCGCCTTCTCCACTTTCTCTTATTCCCCACCCTTTCTCTTCCACCTTCACCACCTTCTTTTCCTTTTCCTTGTCCTTGTCCTCTTCCTCTTCTTTCCTTCTTCTTCTTCTCTACCTCCTCCACTTTCTCCTCTTTCTCTTCCTCCTTTCCTTTCTCCTCTCCCTTCTCCTCTTTCCCTTTTCTTTCCTTCTTCTTTTTCTCCTCTTCTCCTCCGCCTTCTCCCCTTTCTCTTATTTCCCCCTTTCTCTTCTACCGTCACCACTTTCTTTTCCTCCTCCTCTTCCTTCTTTCCTTTTCTTCCACTTTCCTTTTTCCTCTTCCCTCTCCTCTTCCTCCTCTTCCTTTTCCCTCTCCTCTCTTTCTCCTCTTTCCCTTCTCCTTTCCTTCCTCCACCTCCATCACCTTCTCCTCTTTCTCTTCCTCCTTTTCCTCTTCCTTCTTCTCTTTCTCCTCTTCCCCTCCTTTCATTCTTCTTCTTTTCTTTTTCTCCTCCACTTTCCTCTTCCCCTCCTCTTTCCTTCTTTTCTTCCCCCTCTCCCTCTTCTCCTTTCCTTCTTTCCTTCCTCCACCTCCAGCACCTTCTCCTCTTTCTCTTCCTCCTTTTCCTCTTCCTCCTTTTCCTTCTTTTCTTTCTCTCCTGCTTCCCTCCTTTCATTCTTCTTTTCTTCTCCTCCACTGTCCTCTTCCCCTCCTCTTTCCTTCTTTTCTTCCTCCTCTTCCTCTTTCCTTCTTTCCTTCCTCCACCTCCATCACCTTCTCCTCTTTCTCTTCCTCCTTTTCCTCTTCCTCCTCTTTCCTTCTTCTTCTCTTCCTCCTCCTCCACCACCTTCTCCTCTTCCTCTTCTCCTTCCTGAAATAATACATATCACAAATGTACTTTTTAAATTCTGTCCCACTCCAGTTGCTCAGGAGTCTCTTGGAAAGTTTTGTCATAAGGTGTACATTACGTTGTCAAAAACGTTGTTCCAAAGATTCTGGCAGTGTGATGCGATTGTCCAAAGTATGTCCTTGTTAGTCAGGCACGGGCTGAGCATCCCTGATCCAGCATTCTAAAATCCACACGGGTGGCTGAGAGAGTGACGCTTTTTCACGTTGCTACTTCAACGTCCACAAACTTTATTTCATGCACAAAACCATTACAAATATCCTATACAATTATTTTTAGGCTGTGTATATGAAATATCGATGAATTTTGTGCAAAGACTTCCATCCCATCTCCAAGATAGCTCAGGAAGTAAATACAAGTATTGCATGATCTGAAATATACTACACTTCCAGTCCCAAACATTTGGGATAAAGGATACTCAACTTATGTTTACCCCTTGAATCACTTTTGCTTCAGTGTTTCAAGTGTTGTATGTATTAAGGAAACTTCCACTCATTAACAACTTCAATGTAAAACTCCTGAAAAATGAGAAGCTTATTTTTACCCCAGGACATTAATAAACACCATATTTTTGAAAAACCATCAGTAATTCAGCATATCCATTAATACATTCCTTGAGACTAATTTCTTCACCCGACACTTTTTCAGCTATATGAGCAGCTTTACAATATGTTTCTTGCCTGTGGACCAAAAGAAGGACTAGATTCCATCTGCAGTAAGGACTATAGGGTCATATCTACATATACTTTGGTTATTCTTTGATTTTCATGACCTACATTGTTCTCCAACACCTTGCTGCGGTCTCTAGTAATCTGCTCCCTGAGACAACTAATTCACTTTCTCTAATGCCTGGGCTCTTCCTGAGTCATATTCTTATCCCTCTGTGCTAAAAGAAATCAATTATTTTTTCACACACCTTTCATACCAACCCAGGTTCTATTAAGAAGATGGAGCTTTCAATATTTTGGTCCGACTGACTTTGTAAACAAGACTAGACAAACCTGGCAGTGGCTTAAATTAAGTCAGCAAAGTAAAGAGCATCCATAAGCAGAGGCCGAACAGGTCTTGAATAGTCACTCTTAAGGGAGGTAAACAATGGGAAGCAGAAATCTCTCTAGATAAGAAGTGTGTAAAGCATAGCCTTCCAAGTCCTGGACTACAAGTTACACTAGATCTAGTCAACATATTCATTAATAGGCAAATATGAGGTTTGTTCCAGTTCAACCTCTAGAGATGTTGGTTAGCTCTACCACAGTGGTTCTCAACCTATGGGTCCTCAGGTGTTTTGGCCTACAACGCCCTGAAATCCCAGCCAGTCTTATCAGCTGTTAGGATTTCTGGGAGTTGAAGGCCAAAACATCTGGGGACCCACAGGTTGAGAACTACTGCTCTAGCATAAAGCTCCAATTACAGAAATTTAATGTTGGAAGGGACCACAGTTGTGCAGGAATACACAGCTAAAGTACTGCAGAAACATAGCCATCAAATGTTGGATCTGGAAAACTACCAAAGAAGAAGAGTTCACTATCCCGGGACAGTCCATTTGACTGTTGAACAATTCTGACAATAAATAAGTTATTCCTTATGATTGTCTTCTTGTTGGCATCCGCTGATCCATGTTTGAATCTCTGGAGCAGCTTGCTTCACCTTCTATGTCACAGCCCATTAGGTATTTAAAGATGGGGATCATGCCACCCTTCAGATCTCTTTCCTCCAAGCTTTGTTCCCTAAGTTGCTCCGTACAGCTTCATTACTAGAACTTTAATCATCTTGTCACTCGCTACTAGACACCTTCCAGATTGTTAATATCCTCTTGAACTGATGCACCCAGAAATGTACACAGTACTCCAGCCTCTCAAATTTGTGATGGTCATTTTTAATCCCGATCCATCTAAGTCACTTGGAAAGAGGTTGAATAACACCAGGCTCAGGTGCAAGGCCTGCCCTTCTGTTAGGCAGGGTGAGATGCCTACCTGAAGTAGAAGATTTTGTATGTCAGAAAATGAAAATACCGTAGTCTCACTTATCCGACATAAACGAGCCAACAGAACATTGGATAAATGAAAACGTCAGATAATACAGAGTCTCCTACTCAGGGCCGGGGGTTAAAAATTTCGGGGGGGGGGGGGTAAAAATTTCACGCGCGCGGGGGGTGGTGGTGGTGGGTTGAAACCTGCCTCCTAGCTCACATTGAAGCAAAGAGCACAGCAGGGGGCAGAGCAGCCTTCAATAGCCTGCAGCTCCGCCCCTGTCAACCACCTCCACCAAGTCTGGCCTCCTTAATGAGAGCATTCAACACCCCCCCCCCCAAACTTGGTTGCTTCACTACATCGGCTATTGCTGCAAGTAATGACAGTGTGAATAAATTGTCAATATTTGCTTGAGATAGTGCTTGCAGTTCTGGAGGGACTTTTTTGCATCTCATAGACTTAGCATGGAGATTTGGTTAACCAGTTAAAATACATGAGTAAACCGGTTTTTTTAACCTGAAAAATTTTCAGGGGGGGGGTTGAACCCCTAACCCCCCCCCCCCCCCCCCCCCCCCCCCCCCGGCTACAGGCCTGTCCTACTGTTACCTGTCCAATTCAGCACTAGACATATAGAATACTAACAACAAAGACTCAAAGAGTTAAGACAAGGCAACACCTTGGGGCTAGAGCAGCCCAGCATGAACTGCCCAGATGTGGAAAGAGAGTTGGAGAGTGCTCCTTTAATTGAAGGGGAAATGCTGGAGGAAAGGGAGGGGGGTGTTAGATAAGACAGAATGTTGGATAAGCAAAGGTCGGATAAGCAAGACTCTATTGTACAACAAAATACATAATCCACTGAGCAGTGATACCTTTATGTGGCCCATATTGGTATTGTTCTGTGGATTTTGAATTTTGTTGCATTGTGCTGTGTGGCTAACATAGTACACACACACACCCGGTGGCGCAGTGGGTTAAACCTCTGTGCCGGCAGGACTGAAGACTGACAGGTCGCAGGTTTGAATCTGGGGAGAGGCGGATGAGCTCCCTCTATCAGCTCCAGCTCCTCATGCGGGGACATGAGGGAAGCCTCCCACAAGGATGATAAAAACATCAAATCAACCAGGCATCCCCCGGGCGACGTCCTTGCAGACGGCCAATTCTCTCACACCAGAAGCAACTTGCAGTTTCTCAAGTTGCTCCTAATACGACAATTTAAAACAAACCAAATATTTTCTAGAAAAACAAATTGTTGGGGAGGGATGCTTGTTGGTTCATCTACCTCATATGCTGAAACACTTGACCTATCTTTGGATCCCAGGAACCATTACTGAATTTGTCGAAGGCTTTCATGGCTAGACTTTACTTACTTAGGTGATCCCTCGTTGGCCGAGTAGGATAGTCTTCCAGGATCAGTGTTCTGTTGGGTCCGTAGGTGACTATGGAGCCCTATCCTTGATCTGCATCTTCTCCCGCAGTGAGGGCATTGGTTTCCAGGTGGAAGGTGGTCTCAGTTGGGGTTGGCTTGATGTGCCTTCCTCTTGGCATGTTTCTCTCTTTCGCCCTCCATTCGTGCCTCTTCAAATTCTACAGCACTGCTGGTCACAGCTGTCCTCCAGCTGGAGCACTCAAAGACCAGGGCTTCCCAGTTCTCAGTGTCTATGCCGGAGTTTTTAAGGTTGGCTTTGAGCCCATCTTTAAATCTCTTTTCCTGTCCACCAACATTCCGTTTTCTATTCTGAAGTTCGGAGTAGAGCAACTGCTTTGGGAGAATCATGGCCAGAAT